TTGCAAATTTCGCTCTCGTGTCCACCGAAGACAATGTTTCCCATTTGATTCTCCGTTTGCTTCTGCCACCGGATCTTCGTATGGTACTCCATTCCTTACAGCGCAGCGTGCCAACAACAAGGTGATGATCGGTTGATAGCTCTGCGCCTCTTTCAACTCGAACATCCATTCTGAGCGTCTTAGGTCAGACGATACGAGTATCAAATCGATCATCGACTTCTGTGCACAAGCTTCCCGGTACCAGGTGTACTGATGCACTTTCGATGCTCGAAGAAGGTGTTCATAATGGACATCCGTTGTTTGCACAAAACCACAACAACTTCATGCCGTTATTGTTGAGGTCGCTAGGGCCGTTTTTCCAATCACGGCATTCCAGCGTATAGTCTGACATGCGCATTGAGTATGAGAATCTCCGTATTCGGCATTTCGTACAGAGCAGACTCCACTTCCTCAAGGAAGGAGTAGTATTCTCGCTCAAAATTAAGCGCATGGACCTGTAACAAAGTCAACGCTTTAGCCTGTCAGAGCAGTACCATTCTTCCGCTGACAGGCTTCCATTGAGTGATTCTATTAGAGATGTTGCGTTCTACTATAACAGTAACATCGGCCTGAGAGCAAGTTGTGATATCGACACGTTAGTAGAATAGCTTTCACAGCCTTGGCTCTTCGTTGACGAGAGTCTAACAATGATGAGTTGGTACTTCATGGCCTCATCAACTAACTCTTGTTCTATCCCTCTGAGTGAGGATGTGTTCCAATTTCCGACTGTAAGTTTCCATTGGCGGCGTCGTTCTCGGGAATCTTTTCTGATGCCATGAAGGCATCGCGCTGTCGGCCTCCTCTGTTCAGAAAGGGTAGCCACTCCGTTGCTGACTGATATCTTTGTCGTCGTTTCGTCAATTTTCGGAATCCGTTGTCATGCTGTTATGACCCCAGGTGCCGGAAGGAGATGAACAGGTTCTGATCGCTGACTTTTCGAGGTCTGCCTCAGTCCCGCAACAGCCTGCGCGGCCTTTGATAAACCGGGTGATGACCGAGCCGGTATAATGCTCGAATACGACAATAACGGGGTAGGTGGCTAACTTTCTTGAAGACTTCTCCATGGTCTCCAACCCTCCTTTCTCACCCGTGCTTGGGTCCAACAACGACGGAGTTGCCTTATTAATCGACAATGAAGTTTTATTGCGGTGATCCGTTAGAGGCGGAAGTTTTCCTATTGGATTCGAGAAAAATTCAACGGCAAAGTACCGCGTAGCACGACACATAAAGGTATAGTCTTGGGATCAGGAGAATGTGGAGCAAGTCGAAAAAATCTCATAGCAAGCAGCATGGTAATATGATTACGAACGTAACAAAACTAACGACAGTGATGGTCTCTAGATATAACACATGGTCTGATCATCACCGTAGAAGGGTGCGTATTTTGATCTTACCGAGGTGACCAAATTTAACTTTAGCAAGATGTATTCGAGGAAAGAAAGTCGCGTTGTCAACTGTGGAAGCGAGTCGCCAAAAACAGCATTGGTTATAAAAGCTTCGAACAGACCGTGATTGAGAAATGCAACATTAGACTGGGTGAATAGTCGTATCAGTAT